TTTTCATTTTTCAAAAATCAGCTCACATGTCACCGGTTTGGAGAACTCTTTGTCCATCACTAGGAAAACGATTTCTCAGCTCCAAATTCACCTTGGCTCACTGCTCTGTGGTGCTGAGGCTGGAGCTCTCTGTAAACTGCATTACTTTCTCTAGCTGGATTTATTAGACCTAACAATAGGTTGCATTAGACCAGCAGGAGCTTGGAATCAGTAGGAGGAAGGTTCCTTCCTGCTGCCTTGTTTCTATCAGTGTCACCTTGGCAACAGCAACTGATTCTAGCCTTCCCTATTTTACTTTATATTGTATTTTAATTTCTTGCACTCTCCAAACAAGCACTAGTTGGGACTCTCCCTAAAGTACTGACCCTGTTCCCAAGAGTCTAATCTCTGAGTTTCTAATCTGATTACCTTAAATTCTCATAGTCACCTCCAGCCCTAATTTTCATAGCTGTTTTCTCTTGCCATTATCTCTGATATCTGTGTTTCTTTTGTGCTTTTCTAGGCTTCCAACATCTATTTACTTTCTTTCTCTATTAATGTCTCCCTGTGAATACTAACTCCGATTTCTGCCTTTTATAAGATATCTAGACCCTGACAGCAGACAGCACCATATAATCTGATTTAGGATTCCACTTACTCTCTAACCAATCAGTGGATTTTCTTCACAGACTGTTCCTAGTCTATATTTAAAATGATTTTTTTCCATCTCATAATCTGCCTCTTCATCATTGTATCCTTAGAGCCTGGCATCCTGCAGGAACTTAACTGATGCTTCTTGAATGAATTATCATAAAAGAGTACACAAACCAGGTGTGGTGGCACACACTTATAAACCCAGCACTTGGAGAGGCAGGAGGACTGCTGCAAGCTTGAGGCCAGTCTGGTCTAATACCAAGTTCTAGACCTGCTAGGGGTACATAGTAAGACTGGGTTTCAAAAACAAATAGAACACAACGAAAAACAAAACAAGCAACGGTAAAAATTGAAGAAAGAAAGAAAGAAAAGACCAGAATTAAGCAACTAAAAAAAAATCTTTTGGTTTTAGATCAATTTATTAATGAACTTTGATGCAATGTCATTCCTTTAGAGTCAAGCATGGTACTTATAAGCATGTTAGAAAACAATGCATTATTTAATTCTAGATCCACCCATCATTAGTGGAATAACAAGATACACAATTTACCTTGACCTGTGTAATTCTTACCTTGTTAAAATTTCTTGAAGATGAAGAAATTGATCTGCAAAATTTCATTTGTTATTTAAAGAACTCACTTGCAACATTAGTTAACAACACTTGCTTGGTAAACATAACCTGTTTATGCTGTTTTTCACTGTGTGATATGGTTTGAAAAACCAAAATATAGAGCCCCAAATCTAGTTAACTTCTGCACAGCTGTAAGGAAGAATTTGAAAATATCCGCTGGTTTTTTGTTTAATTATAGACCACCAAGACAAAGAAAACTTGTAATATGTTGTATATGCTTCATTCAATATTTTATTTATTTTTACTTTATGTGTATGAGTGTTTCACCTGCATGTAAGTGCACCACATGCATGCAATACCCACAGAAGCCAGAAGAGGGTGTCTGATCTTCTGGAACTGGAGTTAAGGATGGTTGCTAGCCACCATGTAGGTGCTGGGAACTGAACTTGGGTCCTCTGGAAAAGTAGCAAGTGCTCTTAAATACTGAGCCATTTCTCCAGCCACCCTTAATTCTTAAAAAAATTTGGTCAAATAATGTGAATAGAGTAAAGCACACTACATTTCCTGTGGCAAGTAAAACCATTTCATTGATCGTTAACTTTCAAGTTTCCCTTATAGTCACCTCAAATGTCTTATTCCCATTTTCTAACTCAGGAAGAAAAATGTCCCTTTTTTTTGCCAGGCTTATTGGGCTCCCAGCATCCCCCACGTTTATTAGGCTACTGGGTCCTTAAGTTCAGCCTTCTTTCTTCATTTAGAAATTGGTGACATTTTTATTTGCCTACTGCTGTTGTTTCTTCTTGTTCAAAACCTTCCCAAATGTTTTTTTTACCTTCTTATCAGTTCAAGATATAATCCTGTATTTTTTCTTGTGTACAAGTTCCAAAGCATTTATATGGTTTCTACTTTGTAATATAGCTTCTGTTCGGACACTTGAAATTCCCCTCTTTCAGCCCATATCTGCCTAATTAATAGTTATTCTCTTCTAATTAATAAGTATTCCTGAGACTTCATTTTTCTCAACATTTCTTTTGCATTTGATGATTTGTCACCTTTCCTTGAGATTCTCCTCTGTGATTTGAGGGATGCTGTGCTCCTGTTTCATCTCTTTTAGAAGGGCTCTTTCTCCAACACCCTGAAGCTCTGTCTACTTGGCTTCTTGTTCATTCACCCTATGGACCACTTATTTGAATGATCCCTACAGTTGTATGCAGCCTCTGAATGCTCCTCCACAAATGTACTTTTCTGATTTTCTCATTAGATTTCTTAACATTTTCTGACTGAAGACTTAGGTTCATTTCTCATATCTCTGACTAGTTTCCTAGAACTTAAAATCAATTACCAGTTATTTACATTCTTGCCTACAGCAGTGTTGTACATCTGTCCTAACCTTCCCTTTATCATAATCTCTAGCCCTCACCTACACAACCTTAACTACTTAATTTTATGCATATGAGTGTATTGCCTGCATGTGTGTAAGTACACCCATGTTGTGCACTGCCCACGGAGGTCAGAAAAAGGCATGGGATTTCTCTGGAATTAGAGTTACAGATGGTTGTTAGCCACCATGTGGGTGCTGGGAACAGAACGTGGGTCCTCTGCAAGTGCTCTTAACCACTGAGCCCTCTCTTCAGCCTCCATACTTCTTTTTTGATAGTTTCAGTATGCATATAGCCCCAGTTGTCCTAGAACTCACTATGTAGCCCAGGCTGGCCTTGATCTCACAGCGATCTGCCTGCCCCGAGTTCTAGGATCAAAGGTGTGCGCCACCAACCCAAGCAAGCATTTTTTTGTGGAGTTTCCTTTCCATAATAAAAATAATTATCACTGGGATGGAAGATTAGTTCAGTAGTGAGTTTTTCCTAGTAACTTGAGGCCCTGGATTTTTTTTCAAAGGGGTAAGAAATAGTTTATTCTGGAGCCAACTATGAGTGACCATGGTTCAGGAACACAGATTCAGGTTACCCTGAATTCCATGTTCCAGCGTGTAACCATACAGCCCAGGATCACCTGCCTAGGGATGGTACCACCCACAGTATGTTTGGTCTTTTTTTAAATTTTATTTATTATTTTTATGTGTATGAGTGTATTGCCTGCATGTAGGTAAGTGCACCCACATTGTGCAATGCCATGGAGGACAGAAGAGGCCATTGGATCCCCTGGAACTGGAGTTATGGACAGTTGTTAGCTGCCATGTGGGTGCTGGGATTTGAACCCGGGTCTTCTGCAAGAACAACTAGTGTTCTTAACTGCTGAGCCATCTCTCTAGCCCCACATTACATTATGTTTTTATAGTAACAGAACAAAGAAGTCATAAATCAAGATACTTTTCATATACATTGGTGGATACATTCAGTAGGCAGGTCATAGTAAAGCAGGGGTGGGGTCAGTTTCCTACTATAGGTCTCAGATGCTATGTGATGACATTCTTCGTTTTTTCATTGGTGGCCCCTGGTGGTCTGCTAGCTAATACATTTTATTAGTCCAAGAATGTTAATTCAGAAACAGTGGTAGGCAAGGTGTGGCTATTTATGGAGTTAAAGATGTCCCCAGAAAATTTGTGAATAGACTGGATCTGCAACATTCCAAACTCTCCACAGTCGTTGAAGTGTTTATCAGTTGGTCAGCCTTGCAGGAAATTCAGCTCAGGATGCAAGAGTTCTTTCTGGGAACTTTCCTTCACAGGTCTCCCTGTTGGGCCAAGCATCACGTTTTGTGCAGAGGCCCTGGGTTTAATCCGTAGCACACAAAAAATTATTGATAATCCATAATTCTATTTTTGGAATAATCTTCCTATAAAATTCTATGTTCCCTTCAAATCTGTTAAAATTTCATCTTACCTTCTGAAATCTTACTTTGTAGGAAGTTCTCAGTTGAACTCTAACTCTTTAAGATCACGTTGCACTATCACATTTTACACACTCAATCACACACTATTAAATATAGAAAGCATTTTGGTTGCTGGCAAGTGCTTTTGTTCTCTGGGTTGGAGAGCAGTATCCGTTACTCTGTATTATTTATTTCTATAAGCAGTAATGCAGTATATTTTGTAACCATGCACATAGTAGATGCTTATTTCTCAAATGAAGGTAGGTAAAGGACTCTTATGTGTTCATTTGACCTCTTAATCGTTTCAATTGTACATATAGAAGAAAATGTTAAATAGAACATTTAGCTCTGGAAACATCAAGTATCACTGAAAATATTTGCTGCTTACTGCTTGCCTCTGCCATTGTCATGGGTAACTTTATTTTCTTTGTAGTTTGATTTACTGGGCGTACTCTACCGCATACAGTGTCTTTCTGCTCCCACCATTGGAAACGTACTTCTATGTTTTTATTAAAGGAGCGATTACAGAGTGTATTCTTTGTGTCAGCACAAAACTTCCACATTTCTACTTTCTTTCAAACATGATTTGAAATTTTCTAGGCAGTTTTCTGGGTCATAACTTACTTTTCCCTTTAATTCAAAGAACTGTAGATACCCAAAGTTGGCACCTAAAATAAGTATTAGCATTTTTTTTCTCTAAATCATCAAGTGTCTTCACTCTGTGTTTACTGTGTATCCAGTTACTAGAAAGACCAGAGGAAGGACAGGTTCTCTTACTTTATAAGACTCCAATGCTATTTTTCCCAAACACTATAGTAAGAGACAGAGTTGCATTGGACCACATTTTAAATTTCTCTCATGCCATTATCCTTGGTAGGCAATTTTAAGTTTTTTTTTTTAAATTTAGGCAGAGCTCTGTCAGAATGGCCTAGCAATCTTCCTTTTTTAAATAACAAGGTCAACACAAACATTTTTAAATAATGATCAAGGATTTTTTTTTTTTATTCATTAAGTTCAGTATCATTACAGAAAATGTTATGGTACAGAGTTGTTTAACATTATTTTGTCTTTGCTCTTGATTTCCACATGAATGCTGGTAACACTAATATCTGTACAAGATCAGTCTTTGATTTTATTATTATTTTTTTTTTGTTCTGTACAATTTTAAATGTGTTGGTTAAAAAGGCTGTCAGCACTTAAGGAAGCATCTTTCCCCCAGTTTGTTTGTTCAAATAAAAGGTATCCAGGTACTGCCCAAGAGTACTGTGCCATGAGGCTGCTAGGGTGAGCACTCCCCTGGGTGCTCAGCAGGGTGGTTCTTGCGGAAGGGCAGGGCCTCCGCTCAGTCACTCTTCTTTTGGCACGGAGCACATAAACACGAGATACATGATAAAGAACAAGCAAAAGCTCTCTGTAAAGCGGTTATGAAGCATACTAAGAAGGGAAATCCAAGTGTTGCCTATACTAGTATAAATAAGCAGACAGCCTTGATTAAGAGCATAAGTAGTTGTATTTTAAAGATGAGGAAAACACAAGTTCTGCAGGCACCTACCGCTGTCTACTAAAAGCTATCGCTATCAGACCTAGAATTGAACACACAAAGCAATTTGCAAGAAAGGAAATTTTGCTTTGATATAATCAGAATAGGGTTGTCTGTTAAGATTTATTCTTAGGTTTTTTTTTCCTTTAAAAGGTATTTAAATTCATTTGAAAGTATAGTTCAAGATGTTGACTATACAGATCAACTTTTTTATCCAAATCAGAAAAACTAGCTGTGCCGTTGCATATTACAGGATACAGTCAATGATATGTGGACATGCATCAATGCTCTCTCCTGTTGGTGACCATCATAGCCGCCCAATGACCATGACATCCACCACCTCGCCCTTGTGGAGCTCCACGTACTGCTCTGTCTTTGGAGGTAGCATCAATAATCCATTGGCGCTGCGCATGCTCATCAGACGGCTGCTCATCTGATTACCTGGAATAAAATACTCTCATTACAGCAACACAGGCAGCAAGGGCTCATGGTGCATGTCGGGAGCCCAGCAACAGAAGTGTAGGGTATCAAGAGGAAGAGAGATGAGCAATCTTCCCAGCACCTTTTCCAGGTGTAATGGATGTCCTAGATCCTTCACCTTCTCACCAAAACTTTCAAAATAAACAGCAGATAATGTTCAAAAGAATAAAATAAGGTTTTATAGCATTATTCAAGATGCCACTCACAGTCTCAGTTCAGGGCAAGTTTACATCTGTATGGAAATAAAGGCTTTAAAGCTCAGGGATGATGACAGTTTGCACTGTCTTTCCTTTACTAAGTGCCAGACAAAGTACAGGTCACTTTCTTAAGCTCTCTTATTCAAAAGGTCTTTGGTCACCTGCCTAGAGTCTTGTTGCCTAGGGTGGGCAGTTGGCATGCAGGGCTTTGATGACAAGGCTCATGTACTAGTCACTATGGTGGTTGATGTCACATTTGATATAGGATCTTTTTGTTAATAGGTAACAGTTTTTGTGGGGTTGCATCAGAACTTGGACAAACTATAGAAAAGCTGGGGATGAAAGTTTAAAGTCTAGAGCTCTATACTTCAGAGCTAGAACTCCAAATTAGCAATATTAGTTTCTTTATCTTTAAAATTTACCAGCATCTAGGGCACAGTAGCGTCTACAAAGACCATATTATAAATTGGGCTTTCAGCTCACATTTCAGGGCTACTGTGCTCTCCTTTTTCTATAACCAAAGTCATGTTCAGAAGGCTGCTTGAAGTAACAGATCAAAGTCTGTAATCTAGATTTATATTTCAAATATTTATCTAGAAAACACAGTTTAATTAAATGATTAAATGTTGTTTACAAATAATTTATCTCACCTAACCTTTCAAAAAGAAAACCATGTACAATAATTACACCATTAGGATAACTAAAGAGTAAGACATTCATTTAACTGTGTTTTAGCAGAACAGGGTACCTGCAGGGGTAAGTGACTGACCTGTACTCTGTGCCCAAGGCAGTGGTTCTTGATGATGCCAAGTCAATATACACCGGTGGTATTCTGGGCGAGGGTCCAGTTTTACATCACATGACAACTACAGAATAAAGAGGAAAAGAAAGCAAACTTGATTACTTGATCATTCCACAAAACTACAGAGAATATGGTGAGTCTGGGAAATATTCTTGGCATTCTACTGTTTCTGTCACTTTCAGCTTGTTTTTAGTACAGGAGGTCTAGGGGCCGAGTTTCTTTGGTAAATAGGAAAGAATGTTAAGAAGTTAGTGTTCATAATGGGCGGGGGGCAGATAGAAAAGGTATGTTCTATTTTTATGGGTTGTGAGGACAGAGACTCTGGATCTATGAAATGAGAAATTGAAGCATCAATTTAACATGGAAAAGAAAGGAGGTAGATCTAACAAACAAATCAACATCTATCCATCCATCTATCCAGTAATTTTTATTGTGGATCTAGTATGTACTAGGCACTACTCACCTATACATTTATAGAACTATTTTTGATGTAAAAGAATAGGTATTTGGATATTACATGTGTTTTATTTGCTGCTAAGTTCCCATTGCTCCTAAACTATTCTGTGCTTCTCCCTCAGTCTGTGTGCATGTTCTACAGTGCTAGATTACAAGTGCTACCCACACAGCTGTTTTGTTGCTGTTGTTTTGTGATGCCAGGGATCAATCTCAGGGCCTTATGCATACTAGGCAAGTGCTCTCTAACACCAAGTTATATATACAGTGAGTGAGGACACTTGCCACCAAGCCTGAGCTCACTTCTGGAAACTGTCCTCTGACTTCTATATGCATGCTGTGGCACAAGTGACTCCCCTGCTCAACAAAATAAATACAATTTTTTAAAGTCAACTACATCAATTTGAAGTAAATGAAAACTTTTTTTTTCATAGCCTTTCCACAAACAGTTGTTCCTTTTGCAGTTACAAATGAAACTGATTGGTTCATTGAGGTATTTTACTGAAATGCCAAACACTTTATTAATAATGACTGTTTATTAGTGCTGGGAGTACTGTTGTGGTATATTAGTTAGATTATTATTTTAAGAAAGCACTTGTTTACCATGAGCTTCAATGCAGAATAAACACAGACACACATCTTCTGCTGAACCAACCATTGTTAGTGGTTGACATTTTACTTCTGATCACTTCTTGGTATTAAAAGCTGGACAGTTGACTTGGAATCCTGTTCTCTTTTAATATTTACAAGGCACATGGTAATCACTCAGGAGAAAAACTGCATTATTTTCTATCACTTCTTTAAGGAAGAGAAGAAAAAAACAAACCAAACGAGGTTTTGAGTGTGAGAAGAAAAGCCACAGACTGAGGGAATAATTTTGCACAAGGTACTTCTGAGCTAGGAATATTATCTGAAATAGACAAAGATCTCTAAATCAACAGAAAGAAAATAAGCAACTCAGTTTAAGAAACTGGACAAAAGACCTGAGCACATAACTCACAAGAACAAAAACAGTAAGTAAACACATAAAAAAGTGTTCAGTCTCATGTATCTCTATAGAGTAGCACATTAAAATAACAGTGAGATACCAAAATATACCTGTTAGAATGGCTGAAATCTAAAACATACACTAATGTTGACAAGAATGAGGACCAGCAGGAACTCTCATTGTTGCTTTTGGAAGTATAAAATAGTATAGATATTTTGAAGGAACATTTGGTGATTTCTTATAAAAATAAGCACACTTATACCACCAAAAATACTTCTTGGTAATTATACAAGTGAAGTGAAAACAGGTCTATACAAAGGCCTGTACACAGATGCTTGAAATAGCTTTGTTTAAAACTGCCAAAACTTGAAAGTAGCCAAGATGTCATCCAGGTGATAATCTATTTATTATTCATCACTAAGCAAATGAGTTATGAAGCTATGAAAAGACAAAGAGGAAATGTAAACGCACATTACTAAATGAAGGCAGTCTGGAATGGCTGAACACTGATTACAACTCTATGACATTCTGAAAAAAAGCAAAACTAGGGAGACAGTAAAGGGATCAGGGAGGGCTGGGGAGGGAGGGACAAGTAGGCAGGATAGCATACCTCTCTGGTATACTTGTATGATGCAGTGGTGGATCTATAGTGTCAAACATTTGTCAAAACCGATAGAGTGTGCAACACCAGGAGTGAACCTTAGTATAGACTGGTGACAGTGTACCAATAGACTCAGCACTTGCAATAACTATCACACTGGTGCCAGATGATGATTGTGGGGAGGCTAGTTAGGTGTGTGGGGATATAGGGCATAAGGGAACCGGGGACTTTCTGTTTTTTCTGCTCTGATTTATAGTACTAAAAGTTCTCTAAAAGTAATATTTATTAATTTTAAAAGGTGGAATATTTTCTTTCTTCTTTGTCCTATCTTACAAAGATGTGATCCTAGTGATTTTGCGAAAGACCTTATAGGGATTACGATACCTGCATATTACAACATGAAAGTTATTAAACTAAGGGAGATCGTAGCAGACAGCCTGAGAGGGTGGGTTCTGACCTCCATTGGTGTAGTGGCTCTGATCTCAGCAGACCGCCAGAGAGTGCTGAGTTCTGACCTCCCTCTGGGAGAGGGCCTGAGAATGCAGGGACTGCCTGAGAGCCCCAGGATCCTGCCTCCACTTGGTGGTGAGCTTCCCCTAACTGCGCCATACCCATCCCCTTACCTGGGATTTTGTGAGGCCCCTCCCAAGGCCCAGGAGCAGATCTGGCTTTGGTAGGCTAAGGCTGAGATCCTAGCAGACTACTTGAGGCAGACTACTCTGGCATAGGGGCTGAGAATGCAGGAGGCTGCCTGAGAGCCCCAGATCCTGCCTCCACGTGGTGAAGTACCTGAGTGTACCTGACTGGAACCTGAATTGGGCTTCTGTGGGTCCTGAATAGCTGATCTGCCTGAGAGGGTGGGTTGCAACCTCCATAGGTATAGCGGTGTAGTGGCTCTGATCTCAGCAGACTGCCAGAAAGTGCTGAGTTCTGGCCTCCCTCTGGCCTCTCAAACAGAAGCATACTTCACCTTAATTCTCATATCAGAATCATAAACAACAAAAGAAATTCACATGCCAAAATCACAACGAAAGAATAATAAAATGGAAAACCAGAACACTACAAACTCTACCAATCCCATAGAAGAGTTCTACAAGGAGAACCCCCTAGAGATAACCCAGGACATTGAATTAAAAAAAAAAACAATCATAAACATGATCAAGGAATTCAACGAATTTAAAGAACACACAAACAAATCAAAGAACTAAAAGAAGATAGGGATAAACTGCTGAATGAATTAACAAAAGAGATAGAAACATTGAACAAAACTCAGGCAGAAATGAAGAAGGAAGTGCAAAACTCAATAAGCCAACTTGAAACAACAGGGGAAGACCTCATTGCTAGAATGAACGAAATGGAAAACAGAATATCAGCATTGGAGATAAAGTTGAAGAATTGGACCACTCAAGAAAACACTATGGAAAATTTAAAAAGACACAAGAATGGAATATGCAAGAGATGTGGGACACCATGAAAAGATCAAATCTATGGATCATAGGAATAGAGGAATGAGAAGAATTTCAGGTTAATCATATTGACCAGATCTTAAACAGGATTGAAGAAGAGAATTTCCCTAAATTAAGGAAAGACATCCCTATACAAATACAGGAAGCACACAGAACACCAAATAGACAGGATCAGAAAAGAAACTCCCCACGGCATATCATAGTAAAAACACTAAATGTACAGAAAAGACAGAATCCTGAAAGCAGCAAAAGAAAAATAAGTCACATACAAAGGAAAGCCCATCAGAATTACAGCTGACTTAACAATGCAAACTATGAAAGCCAGAAGAGCCTGGACCAAGGTATTTCCAGTTCTACATGACAATAGATGCCTGCCCAGAATACTTTACCCAGCAAAAATGTCTATTATAGTTGAGGGGGAAAGAAAAATCTTCCATGACATGAATAGCCTGAAAGAATACATGTCCACAAAACCAGCCCTTCAAAGAATACTTGAAAGAATATGGAGAGCAGAGAGACAAAAACAACTATACCCCAGGGCAATGAAAGCAAATAAATAAAGGTATAACTGAGGAAACTCAAAATTAGACAGAGAACACAAACAGCAATCAAAATGATGGCAACCAATATACATCTTTAAATAATAACCTTAAATATCAGTGGACTGAACTCCCCAATCAAAAGACACAGGCTAAGTGAATGGATTAAGAAACAAAGTCCATCTCTTTGTTGTCTGCAAGAAACCCATCTAACCTTCAAGGACAGGCACTACCTTAAGGTAAAAGAATGGAATAGAATATTCCAAGAAAATGGCACTAAGAAACAAGCAGGGGTTGCAATTCTAATATCTGACAAAATAGACTTCAAAGTAAAACTAATCAGAAGAGATAAGGAGGGTCACTTCATTCTGATCAAAGGAACAGTTAACCAAGAAGATTACAATTCTTAACATATATGCACCAAACTCTGGTGCACCCAAACTCATACAAACAACCTTTAAGACATAGATTAACCCCAACTCAGTAATAGTAGGGGACTTCAATACCCCACTGTCTCCATTACACAGGTCAACTGGACAAAGAATAAACAGAGAGACGTCTGAATTAAATGATACCATACATCAAAGGGACCTAACAGACATCTTTCGAATATTCCACCCAAGCACCAAAGAATACACTTTCTACTCAGTACCTCATGGAACTTTTTCAACAATTGACCACCTACTGGCCCATGAAACAAACCTCAACAAACACAAAAAAATTGAAGTAATCCCATACATTCTGTCATACAACAATGCAATAAAGCTCAAAATCAACACCGGACAAAGCCCTAGTCACTACACAAACTTATGGCAATTGAACAACACACTCCTAAACAATGGGTCAAAGGAGAAATTAAGAAAGAAATAAAAGAATTCCTGGAATTCAATGAAAAGGACAATACAACACAACAGAACCTCTGGGACACTTTAAAAGCAGTTCTAAGAGGGAAGTTTATAGCTTATAGCTTTAAGTGCCTACATTAAAAAATTAGAAAGAGCCCAAAGAAATGACCTA